GGGGACGGATATCAGTCTCTATTCTTAGGCACTATCAGACCTTTTTTTAACCATGGTCCAAATCACTGCCTTGAAAACTCTGTTTCTGTATCCACAGCAACATATAATTACACATAGCTACTATATTCCTTCAGCACAAATCTGGGTTTCCTATGCCAGAAGAGAATGTCTGACTGTGATGTGGGAAGTTAGGGGCAGTAAGAAGAACTCCCATTTTGCTGTACTTCACCCAAATGTGACTAACTCAACAAGACAATCAAATAAAAGGGCAGAGCATTACTCCTTAATCCCAGGCAGCCTGATACATCCAGCCCTTTTAAAATGAATTGTTCTGTCTAATATCTGACTCCTTGGAGGCAAAGCTCTCAGGATCCAGACCCTATCTACTATGACTACTATTTTTTACAACCTCTGTCAAGGCCCAAAGAAACTATCCAGTTTCCAGTTCTCCCTCCTTCACCACTCCATTGCCTTGTGTCACGTTTTGAGTTGCATGTTACATGCAGTTCTTCAAAGGCACCAATACACCATGTGAACACTGAAAACACAGCACAGGGTATCAGTCAGGACCCAGCTGGGTTTGTCAGACAGCAAGGTTAAAACAAAGGTTGTATGGAATGAGAGGATGCATTGGGGGTAAGCGAGCCAAGCCTCTGTTGCTCTATTTTGTGGATGACTGGTGTCCACTCAAATTGTTGCCCCTTACACCCAGCACACTCCTGACCTCTTCTTATATCTAATTTCTACAGAGACCAGTGGAATATCAGCATTAATCTAATAAAAACTGGACAGTGATTCTTTAAAAAACAAAAACTAATCTAAATCAGCCATGTAAATGGTACAAAAAAACAGAACAGTGGAAGACATCACTGTGAGGGTTTCATTTGGGATAAAAGCCATGTCTTTGAGCCACAGTGATACACGTGAGACCATGAGACCATATATTCTTTAGACCTCAGTTCCTTTAACACTATTAAGTGGAGGCTGTTTTTAAAGTATAGAGATGCCATGTAGTTCAGGGACCCATATGAAACATGAATACTACAGTACAGGAAAACTGCATCCCTGGAGATGCAGGTACTAGCAGGAGAGGACTGAGGGAGAGTCTTAAGTATTTGGTACATATGGGAGAGACAGGAAGGTCCCCACATTGCTGGACTCTCCACTCCTGTTGCATAGAAAGGAGTTGAGAGATTTGTATACTCTCAGAGGGCGCTCAGCTCTTGCTTTTACCACTTGTATTCCAAGTTATTGTGGGCCAGATATGATTGAGGCGTATGGGGTTGGCATTTGGAACCACTACAGGCTATCTGGACACACAAAATTATAGGGCAAAAAAATAAAAACACCAAATCCTGACTAAAAGAACATAATTGCACAACTCAGTCAGATGAAAGCCATATGTATTTCCCTTTGGCCTTAAATGTGCTGATAGAAATGGACTTACCAAGAGCTACCTGGCCCTCTTTGTGACAAATTTTAGGCATTTTAAAGCCAAATATGATAACTGGAACATAATTTTTCAGTGTACTTGGAGGGTGTTTTGTACCTGTTTACCAAGTTTTAGGCAAAGCCAAAAGGTTCCAAAAATACAAAAATTTCACATAATGCTGATGGGAGCACAGGTTAGAACAACTAATGGGCATTGTGACAAATGTCTCACAAGTCTTCAATATGTTCACAGCCTTTAACCAAGTATTTCCTATTCTATAAATGTAGTCTAAGGGAATAGTACAGACTATAAATAAAGCCAGGTATGGTGGTGCACACCTGTAATCCGAGCACTCAGGAGGCTGAGCAGGAGAATAGCTACAAGTTCGAGGTCATCCCGGACTATATAGTGAGCACAAGGCCAGCCTGGACCATAAGCAAGACTCTGCCTCTAAAAACTAAAAGAAGAAAAAAAGAATGTAAATAAAGATTAAGATGAAAGTATACTCATGACAGAATTACTTAGAATAGGGAAATGTTAGAATTATTATTTCCAGCAAATAAGGAAATGGACTTTCAATTAGGATATATATTGCACTGACTAATCTTGACTCTCAACTTGATTAGCTTATGTGACACCTAGGAGATTAATAAAGTAGATTTCTGGGTATATATGGATGAATCAAGGAGGCATAGTCTTGAGACAATATCTGATCCCTGGCACCTTCTTCGCTTTCCTCTCTGTTTCCTGGCTACCATGAGGTAAGCAGCTTTCATCCACCATGCCTTTCCACTACTGTGTTTCTGCCTGGGAGCCAGCCAACCATGGACTGAAACCTCTGAAACCATAAGTCAAAATATACCTTTCCTCCTTTAAGTTGTGTATGTCAAGTATTTTGTCCCAATAATGTATAAGTTGACCAATAGAATGGAATATTATGAAGCCACTGAAATTAGGATGTAGATACACACGATTTCATCAACATGGAAAGATATTTATGACATAATGCTAAGCTCATTTAAGTACATTTTTATTGGGTAACTACTATCCAATGAATTGAGAAGGTATAGTACTTACCCTCATAAAGCTTATAAATGACTAGGAAAATCAAATATTGAGGAAGTATTAAGATAAGAAAAAGCATAAAGTACATTGGGGGGAAGTAATAAGGGGACTTAACCTAGTCCAGAAGGGTCATGGAAGGACCTCTGGAAAAAAATTATGCTTAAGAGGTAATGAGGGATAAATACAAGTAAGGCAAGCAAAGAGACAAACAGGGAAAGCATCCTTTAAAGAGGAATACCAATTTTTAAAAATGCATATATCAAAAAAAGTTATTCAGCTATACATATAAAATGAACTCATCTATGTTGAAAAATTTATTTTGGACATGTACCTGTTTATAAATACAAAATTTTAAAGGAGATAAACCATACTTTTACATAGATGTTGTAGTATATGCATATTTTTAAATTTTTGCTTGTTCACACTTTCTGATTTTTTCTGTAACCAACATATGTGCATAGTATTAAAATGTGGGGTATTCCACCACAAATGTGTGGGTGGAAGGATGAATGAAAGAATGCATGGTAACCAGATGGAAGGTTGGGGCTGAACATTACATTACACTCCCCAGAGTCTATATATTACATTGATTCTTCCCTCCCTTCAATTACTAAAGCCCAATATCTGTTCCAGAAACATATTTCCTCCCAATTTCTAAAATCACTTTTTTTTTTTTCCTAAGGCCATCCCATTACCCCAGAGACAAGTTGATTATCAAAAGTAGACCCAACAACATAATTCATTGCAATTGCAAACAGCTTTCTCTCAATATTGGACTTACCAAACCACACACACAAAATGTGACCAGCAGAGCTATGTATTGAAGTTGTAGCTAAATAACTACTGGGGACAAGATAAATTTAAAAAAAAAATAGAGATGAATGGAGGAAAGAGAATAAAAGGAAATAAAACCCTAACAACTAGAATGAGATCACTGCAAAGGAATGTGGCTCAAAATTTCCAGGTAGTGAGCTCAGCTGGTTTTCCAAACTACAATGTGAAATTCCTGGCCCATAGCTCAAAGCAAGGCAAGTGTGGTTGGTCCCTTTCAGAAGAGGAACAACTCCAAGTTGAGAGCAGCTCCTTCACATGATGATCTAGGGGGGACACATATACAAGGAACCCTCACAGCACAAGTGCCAAGGTTCTCCCAACAAAAATAACCTGCCCAGCTACGTGCCAAATTAGGAAAAATAATAAATTCAGCAAAAATGTTCTGCATTCACCATTCTTAGCAACTCATGTTCATTCTTTCAGTATTCACGGGCCACCTTCTGTGGTGGACATTGATGATTTAACATTGACAAGACATGCTTCCCACATGCTTCCTACAGGCCCAAAGCTCAACATTTCATTAGTTCATTTAAAGAAATACTTGAGTCCTACTACATACCAGGCACTCAGGATTAGTAACAAACATGTTCAACAAGGTCCTATCTTCACAGAACTTATATTCTAGTGAGGAAAGACAGGTAAAAAAAAAAAAATTTAAATACTAAGATGATTATCAGATAGTGATACGTGATATGAAAAAGTCCAGTTATAGGCTAGATAGACAAATGTGGAACTATGGTCAGGGTAGTCAGAGGAGCCTTCTCTAGAGAGGAGACATTTGCAAGAAGAAAAGCAGCTAGTTACATAGCTGCCAGGGTATGGGCATTGCAAACACACCAGAATGCAGAGCAATGATGACCACACTCAGAGCAGGCACAGGGAACCTGGAAAGCATGTGGAAGGGAGAACTGACCCAGTCTGGGGATCTCGCAAACTGAGATGGCCTCCTTCTGTCAGCAGTGATTTATACGGCACTGTACCCAGTTCAGAAGTGGTTCTCTGATAAACTAGAGACAAGAAGCTCAGCCTGTTGGTTCCAGTGAATTCAGTCCAGTTGTAGCATTATATGAAATAGTTATACAAAGCTATCCCTTTCATAGGCATTCCCAGGAACAAAGGGACCCCTGGTATTGTACCACAATCCACACGACTATAATGGCTGGCAGATGCCCATGACCTCCTCCTGAAAGGAAGGGCTAGAGAAGAACAACGTGTGAGCCTGACAGTAGACTATTCCACTTGGCCAGGCGTCCAGAAGTGAAGACCCACTCACTATGTGACCTTGAGAAAGACTCTTTCCTTCTCCCACCCTGTGTCCTCCATCTGCACAACGAGAGATCACAAAGCCTGGCAACGATCCCAGTAATCTACATTGTTAACAAGCTCCCCTACAGCTTATGATGCATGCTGAAGCTTGAGAACTGATAGGCTGTGTAAGTCTACCTCTTTTTCCCTTGTGGTGGACAAGGAGGGGCCCACAAGTCCAACTGTCCTGCCTGAGACTTTGGCTCCATCAAGATCTTCATGGTGCCAAGCTGAGAACAGAGAAGCTCTCATGGTAGGTTTTACAGCCTTCTCTTTCCTTGTTCCCCTCATGCTACCACCCTCTCTGTTCTCCCAGTGGAGTGGCAGCCCCATACCTGAGGGTACTGTGTGCCCCTCACCGTACCTGTGAACATCGCACAGAAGTAAGGGCTGCAGGCTGCCAGGACCACACGGTGGGCTTCTATCTCCACATCTTCTGCCACAATCATCACGTCACACAACAGCTGCTTACTGTAAGGGGACAGGACGGGGACAGAATGGTCACAGCATGGATACCTATTCCCATTGTACAAAGGTATTTTTATTTCCCACCCAGATTTCATACTGTCATCATACAAGACTGTTACAGAGACTTGCTCTATCTTGATGTAGGCAGGAAGATGGGCTCATTGACTTTCCAAGTCCTGATATGCCTTCCACTCATGCTTTCATAAGGCATAAAGAGAGGTCCAACTATGCTACAACTGTAAATTCAAGGCTGCTTTATTTGTCTTCACCTCTCTGCTCCCAAGTTCCATCAGCTCTGACTGAGAATTATGGGGACAGTGGCTGGGGAACAGTGACAAAAACTTGGGGCTGTCAGTTGAATGACTGAATGAATGCCAAGCAACATGGGCATAGCACTGAGGTGTGCTACACCAAGACCAAGGACTAATAATTCTTCAATGGCTATATGGCAGTATTAGAGTTTAGATCAAGAATGTCCCTCAAAGGCCTCATGTGCTCAAAGGTGGCACTTTTGAAAAGTGACTGAATCATGGGGATGATACAACTGACTTGCTGTTAGGAGGTAGGGTCCAGTCACAAAAGGCAGGTCACTGGGGGCATGACCTGGAAAGATGTATTTCCCTCCATGGTTTCTTCTTCCTCCTGCTTCCTGGCTGCCATAACATGAGCAGCTTTCCTCCACCTAGGCCCTTTCACTATGCCTTCCTGCCTTGGAACCAGCCAACCATGGACTGAACACTGTAAACACTGAGCCAAAATAAACCTCTCCTTCTTCAAATTGTGTGTGTTAGGTATTTTGTCCCAGCAGAAAGGAAAGTGACTGAGATACACTGGATGTGCAATTCTGATAAGAAGTCAGACTCCAGTACTCTCCTTCCACCTAGACCTAACACTACCACCAAGAAGACTCTACCTGTACACACTTCCTGAAGGCCCTGTGCAAATTCCTATCATTGCGATTATTAAGAATATTGTAACTTTCTTTAAATGATTGTCACTCCATCATACTATAAACTTGGAAAAGGAATTGTCTTATTTACCTTTGTATCCTAAACCCCTGGCTTCATGCCTAGCACACAGTAGACCTGAATTTTTTCTGAACAAATGGAAGAATAAAAGTGGATCAACCTACATTTAGAGACAGAACGGATATCTGACTACTTTAGAGATTGAGAGGGTGCCACAAGTCTCTGTCAATACAGGAATTATTCTTTTATCAGTGTAAGCTTTTATCATTCTTATAATTAATATAATAACAGTTATGAGTTATAGGTATCAGGTCCTGTTCTATTCTAAGCACTTTTTGTGCACATATTATCTCATTTAATTCTATCCACCACCCAATAAAGAGGGTTAAGTATTCTGCTAGATATAAAAATGAGGAAACTGAGGCTCAGAGAAGTTTGGCAACTTTCTCAAGGTCACAGACAAAGGGAACACGGGAAAGTTGAAACATGATTTGAATGCATGTAGCTTAAACTCAGAGCCCATTGAATGGTTCTGCCTTTACACTAAAACACTAGAGGTAGGAAGGAAAGCAAGGAGGACAAACACATTGCAAGTGTCACTCACTGGTGATAGTTCAAGAAATCTGAGGTTATTTCTGGGCTCTATGTGAGGCTGTGGAAACTAGTTAAGAAGTCTGCCATGATTGAAAGATGGAAAAGAAGCTGCATACAGTATTTGCCATCTCTGGTAAAGGATATTAAGCCACTGTGAACTACCAAAACATTAGTCCAGGTTCATTGAGAGAAATAGAAAAATAAAAATGGCACAAAAAGCTCAAGCTGCAAATATCCTTAAAGATCATCTGGTCTATAAAACCCAAAGAAGTGAAGAGCTGCCCAGAGCCACAGGACCTGAATCTTGAATCCAGCTCTCTGGACTCCATACACAGTCTAGTGATTATTCCACTGTACCACAAAGCCTTGTGACGGGCTGATACTTCTAATGGGAAGACTTAGCGCAATTTGTCATAGCTAAATCTTGGAAACAACCCAAATGTCCATCAACTGAACAATGGATAAAAAATATGTAGTATTATTATATGATGAAGTACTATTCAGCTATAAAGAAAGATAAACTCGAGGCTTTTATAGGTAAATGGATGCAAGTGGAGACCATACTCATAAGTGAAATAAAGCAGACTCGCATGTGTAAACATCGTATTGTCTCTCTAGTGTAAGAAACTGAAATAGTAAATAAGATCCAAAAGGTACAATAGATATAGTGAAAGGGAAAGAAACTGCTCAAAAGGGAAGAACAACTGGGATGGGGGAAAAGAGAAAAGAAGGCAGGGAAAAAAAGATATAGATAGCTAAGGTAGCTAAGATAATTGTACTACTAATTTCTATTAGTTCATTAAAAGGAACATTTAGTGCTTGTATCATTTGCTCAATCTCACAGGCCTGTATCTGGTAATCTGAGCAACTACTTTGATAATATGCAATATAATAACCATTGTTAATTTCCTATCACCTTGTTTTGAAATTCTGTATCATTTTTATTGGTTCTTTCTCTCTCTTTATAATAAAAAAGAAAAAGACACCTTAGCACCAACAGGTAAAGGTGGTCAGGACATGTTCAGCATGGGGACTAAATTGTGAGTGATGGGGCTTCTGGAAAGGGTAAGACCTGTGGGCACAAAAAGACAAAACCAAGAGGTTGGGACCTCCCACTGAATTGACAGCAGACCTTACCCAGCAACTTTATCAGAATAACCAGTACAAACAAGAATAGGACTGACTCTGCCCCTACAGGGTTATAAGAACATAGACAAACAAGCTCACCACTGTTTTCTAACCCGTCTTGGCTGCTCTGGGGACACAAATCATGAAGATCAAATGGGATGGCAGAAGCCAAGTAAGCTCTGGTCAAAGTTATTATAAAAATGTATTCTCAAAAGAATAAACTCATCTTGAACATTCTAACTTCTACTGAAGATTTTATAGAAAAACTGGAGTTACCACCACTGTTTAAGAGAAGCCAATAATGTTTTTAGTAAGTAACATTTAGATGATGAAATTTTTAACAAGGAAAATTAAGAAATGCTAAACAAGTTTTCAGTACTAGAAGTAAACAAGCAAATGTCAGAGTAGGATATCTTGTACAAACTCAACAAAATGGATAATTCCCAAGTAAATGGGATATGGACAAGGAAGAATAAAGATCGCAAATTCAATTAAGCAAATAAATGAGAGCCGTTCTGACAGGTCAGGAGTTGATCTCAGTGCCAGAGAAATTCTAACCTGAGAAAATGGGTGTGAAGCCTAAGCTTATTGTCAATCTGATTGGATTAAGGAAGGTAATAGGACCAGGGAGGCACAATACTCATCAGTGGAATAATCTAACAGCTTAGTGTGCTGTTAGAAGGTGAGGCGCAACAGGAGGTGGGACCCTGGGGGCATGCTTTTGGAGGCTGTTGTTTCTCCCGGACACAGCTCTGCTTCTTGGCCACCATGAACTAAGTATCTTTGCTCTGCCACCTTCCACTATGATGTTTCTGCCTTGCAGCCAGAACAATGAACTAAAATCTCTGAGACTGTAACTCAAATGAAACTCTCCTCCTTTAAGTCACAGGTATTGGATATGCTGTCCAGCAACAGGAAATCTAACACATCAGTACAAAAAAGTTGCCAAAAACTCAAAGTAGGCTTTCCCTGAGGGTGGGAAAGCCTGCCTGCACACTGCAGACATCTCCATGTCTCTACCTTACATGGAAAGCCTGCAGAGCTTACAAGTATTCCTATTCAACCAATCAGAGGAAGTAGGGGATCCTTTTCTTTCCCAGCTATGATACTACTCCAAAGCACAATCTTGAGAAAAGAGAAGTGCTATACATTTTTTTTTCATTTGTGGAAAAGTACAGTACAGCTATTAGGAATGTGCTGAGGCACTAAAATCAAAATTAATAGTGTTTATTTTGTTAGCAAGTACATAATATGCCCCAAGTTTACAGAATTGAGATATATTATAAATGAAATAAGGCACAGTGCTAATCATCATACTCAGCAAATGTTAGCTTATATCTTTTCTTTTTGCCCATAAAATATTTCCTTAAGGTTAGAGGTTAAGTGTTGGACATGTTCAATTTGAGTTGCCTATTGCACAGCTAAGTGGGGTTATCAAGTAGACAAGTGGATAGACACATGGGTCCAGAGTTCAGAGGCGGGAGATGTATAAAAAGATGAGGGGGCTGGGCACAGTGGTGCATGACTGTACTATGAGCTACTCTGAAGGGTGAGGCAGGAAGATCACAAATTCAAGGCCAACCCGGGCAACACAATGATATCCTATCTCTTATTTAAAAACAGAGAGAAGAGGAAGAACCAGGAAAACAGAGAGTGTGGTACAGAGAGTATACCAATAAAGGGTCTAAAGATATCTATACAGATCAACAGAATAGAATTGAGAGTCTGGAAACAAACCCTTACATTTATGATCAACTGATTTTTTACAAGTGTGCTAATACAACTAAACTAGGAAAGAATAACTTTTTCAATCAGTTCTGGGACAACTGGATATCAATATGCAAAAGAATGAAGTTGGATCCCCACCTCACACCATACACAAAAATTAACTCAAAGTGAATCAAAGTCCTAAGTGTGAGAGCTAAAACTAAAACATTCCTAGAAAAAAATATAGGGGTAAAGCTTCATGACTTCAGATAAGGTGATAGTTTCTTAGCTATGACACCAAATGTACAAACCACAAAAGAACAAATGGTAAGTTAGGTATCCAAATTTAAAACATTTGTGCTTCAAAGGATACTATCAGGAAAGTAAGAAGCCAATCCACAGAACGAGAAAATTTTCTTCTAAGTTACCTACCAGTAATAGGCTTGTACCTGGAGTATAAGAAGAATTCAAAACCTTATAACTCTATAATAAGCATAAAAATAACCCAATTCTGGAGTACTGGCAGGTTGGGGCATGAGGATTAGAAGTTCAGAGCTAGCCTGGGCAATTTAGCAATACTTAGTGAGACCGCTCGGTTAATAAGTATTAAAGAGGAACTGAAGAAATTGGAATCTTTACATACTGTTGATGAAAATGTAAAGGGTACAGCTGCTTTGGAAAACAATCTGGCAGTGCCTCCAAAGGTTATAGAGTTGCCATGACTTACTGCTTTTTGTAAACCCAGAAAACGAAAACATACACCAAAATGTGTACCTGAATGCTTACAGTAGATTATTTATTATAGCCAAGAGCCAATTTCGCTATATCTAAATAATTAAATTTTATTCATCAATAGAAAGGAATGAAGTGCTGAGATATACCATAATGTAGATGAACCTTAAAAACATTATGCTAGGTTAAAGAGGACAAACACAAAAGACTACCTATTGTATGACTCAAAAATAGGCAAATCTATGGAGAAAGAAAGTAGTTATCGCCTGGGACTAGAACATAAAGGGGAAATAAAGGCAGGGGGAAGAAGTGGAAAGGGGTGAGTGTTACAGTACACAGTGAGTGATGAAAATATTCTAAAATTGATTTTGGTTGCATAACTGTGAATATTTTAAAAGCCATTAAATTTTATGTTTTAAATAGGTGAATTTATATGGCATAGTAATTATATTTTTATAAAGCTGTTCCCAAAAGAAAAAGGGAAGCAGAAAGCAAAGTGCTTAGATGATTCATTACTAGTGGTAAAAGCATAGTGACAATCCACAAAAAGAATAGAGCAGAGAATTGTTTGCAGTGGTAAAATGAGAAGTCGAAACTATCAAGGGGCCAGGGGTACAGCTCAGTTGTGGAGCATATGCCTTGCATGTGCCAGGCTCTGGTGGGGGAAGGGGGCACTGTTCAAATAAGATAAAAAAAAGAGAAAGAAAGACTATGGATTTCAAATGCTCATTGGATTCTCCACCCTTCCTGTCCCCTTCTTTTCAGACCTGGTCAGGGTGTTCTGTTCTGAAAAGGACTTCATCACCACTACTGTGATGTCAGGAGCCAAAGGGTCCCTTAAGTTCTCCTACCCAGACATGCTGTGTTCTGGCCAGAGCAATGAAGCACCAAAGAAAAAGGAAGCCTGGATAGTTACCATGCCAACAGCCCATTCTCTACCATGCAAGTAAAAAGAATAGGATATTCATGAATTATGTGATTCATAAATTGCAAAGAACATATGTGCTTGAACTAAAATAGCTTAAAATTAAGGGAGGGGAATGTGAAAACAATGCAAGAGAAAATACTAGGGCACTGGAATATCATGTAACATTTCATTAACTTAATCCCTATGCGGCAAAACACTTGAATCCAGGTCTTCAATGAAACAAAGTTAGCCTACCCTCTCTCTAGCACTCATTAAACTTACATACATCATAAAGTGTCACTTCAGGTATTCTTTTCCCCTGCCCCACCTATTCCACTCCAGTTTCAGAAAGTTTGCCATTTAGATACCTTGGAATTTGGTAGAGCCTTTGAATACCATAAGAATACAAGCTTCACTGAGCATAAGACTTTGATTCTCTTTTTTACTGCCAAATTCCCACAACCTAGTGCAGTGCTTACACCATCATCACCATCATTTAGCTAACACAGAATATTCATTGTGTGTCAAGGTCTCACAGTAATATCTAAAGAATACTTATTATGTTAATTATGAAATAACTGTATTATTAGTTATGAAATAACTAATTCTATATCTAAGAATTAGTACTATAGAAGTAATTATGAATGTGCACAAATAATAATAGTAATATATGGGCTTTCACTTTTCTAAGCACTTTATTCATTAATCCTCTTAACAACCAGCAAGACTAGTACTATTATTAGCCCCCTTTTATGCTATACAAAAGCAAGGTCAGACAGACTAATTAACTTGCTCAGAGTCACACAATTAGTAAGACCTACAGCCAAGCTTTGAAACTAGTCTGTGCTGTGACCACTACATTACACTGTAACAAAGATAACCACCGCAGGTATTTTTATATGAGGAATTAGGAAAACCTAGATATCCAACAAGGAACTGTTGTTTTAAAATACACCAAAAGTAGAATATCATTTATCCATTTCATATAGAACAATGAGATAGAAAAATGTGTTCCACAAAGTGTTAAGAGACAAAACTAAGGGACCAGGGATATGGCTCACCAGTACAGTGCCTGCCTGGTAAGTGCAAGGTCCTGAGTTCAATTCCTAACACACACACACAAAAAGAGAGACAAAATTAGATGCAGATATATATTTGAAAAAATGATATTCTCCAAAGTGTTACTAATAGTATTAAAATTATAGATTACTTCATGTTTATCTGCATTTTCTAAATGTTCCTCAATAAATATATTTCTCACTGGGTGTGGTGACACAGGCCTGTAATCCCAGCACTCAGAAGCCTCAGGTAGGAGGATCACTGTGAGTCTGAGGCCAGCCTGGATTACAAAGTGAGTTCAAAGACAGCCTGAACTACATAGCAAAACCCTGTATCAAACAGACAATCAATCAATCAAAAAATAAATAAATAAATTCCTTTTACAGAAAATAAATAAGATTAAAAGAGAACTCCATACCTAAACCTGAACTAAAAATTTCCCAAATATATACAGATTGTGGTCCATTTAACAAAACAAAAAGAAAAAAAAGATTATTCACTTATACTTCAGAAAAGCACTTTGATATTTAGAATAGTGTTTTCTAAAACAAGTTGCACAAAACTATACATAAAAATAACTAAAGGGTATTCTATAGTCAATGTGTGAGGCAATAAACAAGTTTACTGCAGTACTTTTCAAAATGTTTAACATTCTATATGTATGTATAACATTATCTCAGAAAGGGTGCAGGATGTAGGATTTTTCAAACTCATTTAAAGAAGCAGGACTATTAGAGTAGATTAAACCCACATCAGTGCTTTGAGGGGGAAGACACAAAAACCTAATAACTTGTTACAAAAGTAATGAGGACTTAGGATGTATTTTTTAAAAAGATACTTAAGAAAATGAAGAGACTAATAAGAGAATCCTGTATACATGTCTATTCCCCAAGCTCTCCCTCTCAGTACTCACTGGAATTGGCTGCACCAGGTAAAATAAAACCTAGTGAGAGAACTACATTCCTGAATCAGACAAAGGACACAAATCATACTCAAAGAACCTAAATGGAGAACTCCAATAATGTCTAGGGAACACAACACAAATTATTTCCTGACAAAAGAACCATGCCAATAGACACAAACGTCAGCCCTGGCTAATGACGAAGGCAGCTATAGACAGAGCTTCGAGGAAATCTGGCAGGAAGCCTAATAAAAATTGCACAGTAGAGCATAAGACAAACTTAATTTAACTTTATTTTTAGTGCCAAAGACTGACCCATGCATAAAGGAAAAACAAGGAAACACAGAATCAGATAGAACTTTTCTTTAAAAGTAATTCAATCTCTCAGTCCAAAAACACTTTTGAGGCCATTTTCTCTGCCTAGAAGGCTTCTCCCCTCTCACAACCCATCAGATCTTTTAACTTTTACTTGTCCTTCAAAAGTCAGCACAAGCATAACCCCCTTTAAGAAATATTCTCCGAAGTTTATCCAACATACTTGCACCATTTAAGAAGAGCTATTATTCATTCTTACCACCTGTTGGACATCTGATGGATTTCTCCTTCAAGCACCTATTTGCACTATAGAAAGATTATTTCCTATTTTAATTTTTTTGTTTGTTTGTTTTGTTTTGTTTTGTTTTTTGTTTTTCTCCGGTACTGGGAACCGAACTCACGACCTTGCGCTTGCCAGGCAGGCGCTTTTGCCGCTGAGCTAAATCCCCAGCCCCTTAATTTTTATTTTTAATACATGTTTACAGTACATAATGATTACACTCATTGTGATGAGCTAGTAGTGAGGAGCATCTTAATTATTTTTTCATCTCCTTCCCCTTCCCTGCCTCCCTCTCCCTCCAGGTTCTGCCCTTGGTCCCTCAAAAGATCTATCTCTCTGTTTCCTACTACCTACCTTTTATTTTGCTATATAGAAAGATTACTGATCTATTAACATTTCTGACTTTGTGTATCCCACCAAGTCTTCCCAAGGCCTAGCTACTGCTTGTGGACCTCACTGGTGAATGAGTCAAAGTGCCCATGAAGGGCCAGGTTCTAGAGCTCTAAATCACTCAGAAGTTATCCCTTCCCAGAGAGAGTTCCTGACCTACAGAGGAAAAAGGGAGGTAAACAAGTAGCCCTCACAACAGGATAAAGAAGGTAGTAAATACTTAATAGCATGGGCAAAGGAAGTTTCTGTGCTCTTGGGTACGGAAGACATTGTATGCACAAGCTTTGTACAGAAAAACATGTTCGGGGCCCTGAACCTGTCTTTTAACAAGCTCATCACACATGCACATTGGCCTGACAAATAACCTGCATACCATCATCATTCAGGTAGGAGATGAGTGCATTTGCATTTCATTTCTTTCTTTACAGAGTTAAACTGCATGTAAGGAGCTAGATATTCTTCCACTCAAGTGACTATTTTACCAAGCTAAACTTAGCCCATGGGATAAGAGAGGGAAGCCAAAAGACAATCTATGACATCCACAATCTTTCATCTGCAATTCTGTGTAGGTGCTGCAATCATCCTATTATTGGTTTTTAAGCAGCTGGTTCAGTTGGAAATCAAGTTTATGAACAGACCTTCTGTAACCACAAAGGAATTTCCCCCTGTGATTAATCACTAAAATGACAGGTGTTAGATAAATATAAAGGAAAGAGAGATTTCTTGCAAAGCCATTTTGTCTCAGAATTTGAAAGGGAAAGACAAGTGACTGAGTGGGTGGGGAAGAGTCAGAATTTACTAGGTGGTGGTGTTCTGACTTTTGTTCACTCTTCCTGATGAAGCTCACTCTGCAAGTTCTGAAAAGGCACAGACAAGATAGGAAAAGTACCTCCGCAGTTCATTCATGACCTTGAAGGCCTTCCCCATGTGGGCAGGGTTGATGGTGATTGTCCTCTGGTTCTTCTCATCATCTCCAGCCTGTACCAGAGGCTGGGAGCTTGACTTGACGCTGTGAACAGGAAGGAAAAGGGAGGGGAAAGAGAGATCACACATGGGCATACCCAGTCACCTAGCTGTCACAGGTCCAGATGCCACCCCCGGCAGCATATCTCCTGACCACAGACCTAGCAGGCAAGGAAGTACTCCATGCAGGTATTTCTGCAGGATCTTCCAACACAAACTGCATTTCTCTAACAGAAGCCAGGCTCCAACCCAGCCTTTCCACTAAGTACTATGTGACTTTGTAGGAGGTCCTTATGCTCCATCTCCACCACCACCACCAAAACTGAGGGAGACTATGTACTCTATTACTCACTACACAAAGATGTTTGTTCAGTTAACACTTAATGTGCCAGCCACTGTATTTAAATTTAAAGGACATATAGCAATAAAAGCACAGTCCCAGCCCTCACAAAGCTTAGAGTTTAGTAGAGAAGAAAGCCAAATAAACATTCAAACATCATACCCTAAGTATTTTGATCTATGGGAGCTACAGAAGAATAAGGAATAGAAAACTTTCACAATGACACCAGGTTGAAGGAAATTTCCTAGAGGCAGAAACCTGAAGGAAAGGTAGAAATTAGCCAGGTAAAACGAAAGATGGACAGGCTGAGGAAACAGTATATGCAAAGAGTAAAAGAGGACAAAAGAGCAAAGTGTGTTTAAAAGTGTGTACAGGCAGTTCAGTAAAAACTGTAAGAGAGCTCAGGAACAGACTATCCTGGGGGAGGTTGGATCCTTTTCTGAAACAATGAGAAGAAATCAAAGACTCAAACAGAAAAGTGGGACAGGAAGCAGATGAACGAATTTGTGCTTTAGAAAGATCATATCACCTAGGGTATGGAGAACAGTGGAACAAGAATGAGAGCTTCTGAGAAACCGCAGTCCTATAGAAAGATTATAACTGTTGTGGAAAAAAGGGCGGTGTGGACTAAGTGAGCAGTGATAACAAGCAAAAGTCACCCATAATCTCAATACCCTCTCTACTGAAATCGAGAGGAAAAAACACATATCTCTATGAGATGCCAGGCAGCTGCCCATCCACTCCTGAACATGCCTTCTGGGGTGGGGGGACAGGAAGGAGGAAACAAAAGAATGAGCAAGAAAAGGATATTCTTCCCACACTGGTGAAGAAACTATTAGTTAGCTCCAAGCGAAAGTTTGGGACCATAGATTTACCGCTATTCGGACAAGACTAAGCTTTGTTTTGCTATTAATAGAACTTCCTCCCCTTGCATAGATTTGGGAACCCACAGTTTACTCCAAATCTGGGACACTGATGGTTGTTTCCCATGACTTTCCCTGGTGGGCCTCTGTCCATGCTTATCATCTAACCCTGCAAAGAGGATAGACAAAGGGCCTATGATGGCTAAGAGAATGTTTCAAAGGCCCAGGATCACTATAGATCTCATACTGAGATTCATAACTCTTCTAACATTCAAATATAAAAATCATGGCAGACCCACAGCATGTATCATTCTAACATACTTCTCTTTTGGCTTTCTTGCCTACTTTGAAATGCAATGCAAATGTAAGTCATGGATACCTGGACACTAGGACTGTCTGGATTCAAGGAAATTAACTGAGCAGAGAAGATAAATATCAAGAGATATACAAAGGAAGATGCTTAGAGTTCTGTGTTTAAGTGGTTAAAGAAAATCTCAAGCCAGAAAATGTGATGGAGATAGCAGAAGTGCCTAGAAAAGATGAAAACTTCAGGGCTGGGAATGTAGCTCAGTGGTAAAGTGCTGGCCCCAGCATGCACAAGGCCAAGTTCAATCCCCAGTACCATAAAAAAAAAAAAAAGAATAAAGGAGAAGATATTACTACCAACCTTTAAAAAAAATTTTTAAATGAAAACTTCAAGAAATCCCACAGCATAATTTCTTTTTCTAGTTATTGCTCTTCTTTATTCCAAAACCAGAAAGATAAAAATTTCTATTTTCTACTTCAAACCCAGAAAGATCGTAATTTTTATTTTCTACTGAAAGTTTAACACTTTTGCTTTTGACATTCAAACTCATTTTGTCCGATATTGATTTCTATGTGAGGTGAAATAGAGATTTAATTTTTTCCATGAGTTCAATTTATTGGTACTTCTTATTTTTCCCACTCAACTGTCCTGCCCCATAGGTCATAAATTAAATTTCCAAATGTACAGGGATCTAGTTTTGGACACTTTAACCCCTTCCACTGCTTTGGTTTGTCCATCTTTGTATGAACACCACACTACTTCTGTAGCTTCAGCATAAGGCCTGACATCTGATCACACAATTTCCCAATCCTATAATTAACCTTGAGACATATCATGACTATTTAAGTTTGTGTACTCTTCATAAAAATTTCAGTTATCAGCTTGTTGGGTAGCATAAAAACACTGATAGGAGTTTGACAGAAACTACATTGAGCTTATAGATCAATTTGGATAGAACCAATATCTTTCTGATAGCATGCCTTCCTATTCATGAACATGGGCTCTCTCTCTATTTAAGTCCTCTTTATTTTTTTTTTTCTTTTGGTCATCTTTTTATTTTTTCTTTTCGTCTTTTTTGAGACAGGGTTTCACTATGCAGTTCAGGCTGGCCTCAAACTCACTTTGTAGCCCAGGCTGATCTCAAACTTGCAGCAATGCTCCTGCCTTAGCCTCCTGAGTGCTGGGATTACAGGTGTGCACCACCACACAAAGCAGTCCTCTTCAGTGTCACTCAAATTTTTCTTTTTTCTTCATATGAACACATTACACATATATGATTAGAATTATTCTGAGTATGCTACAGTTTTGTTATTTTATAATAGAAATTGAATCTTTTAAAGTATATTTTATGTTTATTATAGTTATAAAAGGCAATTAACCTCTGGAAGTTGATCCTATCACCAGCCACTATTATTTCTATGGGCAATTTTTACCTGCCATAGAGTCAACCAGGTATTCTATGTAGACATAATATTGCCTGAATATAATGCCAAAATAAGCACTGTACCACTAAGATATACTCCAGCTATAAAGCCAGGTTTTTCTCTCCTTGACTCTATTTGTTGAAAGAAATTTTTTAGTAGCTAAGAAGGTCATATATTAAACTAAAAGGGTGATAGTGAATATTCTTGTCATGTTCCTAATTTTTTAAATGTTTCCAATATTTCATCACTGTACACGTTTGCAGTAGAATGTTTGTTATAGATGTTTTATCTAGTTAAGAAAATTCCCTTCTATTTTTATTCAGAGTTCTTTAATCATAAGAGTATTGGAATTTTATCAAATACTTTTATATATTTAATAAGATAATGATGTGTGGTTGCTTTTCTTTAATGTTTTAATGTAGTAAATAACTTTTCTAATACTAAACCGTACTTACATTCCTGAAATAAATCCAGATACTATAAAATATTGTACAAATATTCATTATAAATATTGTCTTCAAACTGTGGAAAGACATAAAAGCTGGGATGAGAAAACATAATTTGGTACAGACCAAGAAACCATTGAAGGTTTCTGAGAGGGAACTAACAAGATTAGAATTTAGAAAAAGCCTAGAAGACAGACGTTATTAGCTGTATTTCACAAATATGGAACAGGTATAGACTAATTAGAGCCATACTGGAAATACAGATGATAATCCAGTATAGCTGAATAGGAAATCTCATCCTTCCTGTTGCACTTTTTAGTTTTCTAGGGTAGCCCAATAGCAATATATGTCCTTGTTAGTACAATTTTGTGTTTATTGAAAGGTCTCAAACATATATTGCCTATTATCAGAGGATTAAAATCCAACAAAATGTAATTCAAACTAGAGCCTCTCTGAAAAAGCAAGTGACTTGCTGATGACCACAGGGCTAGCCAGGAAAAGTACATCAGTTTCCACAATCCATCCACAGCACTTTCTACCTTGACACAGAGGGGAAGGCTTCACATCAGAAGAACCTAAGGCTACTTTTTTCCCTTGCTCTTAACTCTGTGAAGACACAGGACGTCTCAAGTGGATTCTGGGCCCTTGGTTTCTGGAAGGTACAAGTTTCTTAACCACTCATTAACTTTCCAGAGAACCAAAAAGAAAGAGTCTGAGGGCTCTAAGAAGTTAAGAATCTCATAGAAGATCAAATAAATAAGAAAAAGCAGGGATGGGACGTGAGCTCAAATCTCTTCAAGCTATTTCCGATATTTCCTACCCCTTTCCACAATGTAGTATGTGCACGTAAATAAGTGCACGTGCGCGCACACACGCATGTACAGCCTAGAATCACATGCCTTGACAGAGTTGCTAAGTCCTGCCATTTCCTGCCCTAAAACTTTCTCCTTCCCCTCAAACCAGATCTTAACTACTTAATCCCAAATGATTACCCATTCCCCTCATCAAGGCTCAGTCCTCAGCATTCTTTGATCTTGATGCCAAATAAGGCTGGTAGAGCCCCTCTCCCTACCTGTGAAACACAGTCCACACTGAGGTATATTCCCACTATCCTGTCCAAGCCCAAGGCTCTTTGGGAAGACTTCGCTATAAGATATTTTCAGTGAAAAACATTTATCAGTAAATATGCTTACTCCAAGCACAAAAAGGATTGATTTCCCCAAAAGTAAAATCTGGCTCTGCCCTCAGTAAACTCATACTTGGCTTCAACAATCTCCATCTAGCTCATTTGAGGTGATTCAGCCTTTAGGGTTTCAGAATCTGCCAAGAGGTATGCAGCCTTTCAAATCTCACCACAGTCAATGTTAATTTGTAAGTGCTCCTTCCACTAGGCCTGAAGCTCTGGCTGCTGAACAAGGGAGCTTTCATCTTACTACCGTGGCTAGAGTTCCAGCAACTTTTAAGCAGAACCATAGTTAAGATTTGAATGGTCACCAATCACCAATCACTGATACTGTAAGAAAATATGAGGCAGGCAAAATTCCTGCTTTTTCTTGTAGGAATATACAGAAATGATCATCTAAGCCATTTTTTATACAAGTTACAGCAAACTCAGAATACATCAAAATACACAACTTTGTCAAACCACTAAGTACTCAGCTTAATA